GCAGGAATAAAGAAGGTGAGTCAATTGAGACAAATTTACAGTTAGGCAAAAGGAATACATTTGGAAGATCTGTTGTTACCACAGTGAAAACAATATATCACATCCTTCAAAATTACTAAAAGTAGATTTTGAGTGTTCCTACTACAAAAAAGTGACTTTGTGAGAAAAAAATGTATGTTTTAATTAGCTTGAGTTAGTCATTCCATAATATGTACATATTTCAAACAATATATTATAAAACATAAGTGTGTATACATATATAATCATTATTTTGTAAGCATTTTTTTGTGTTGTGGGTTTTTTTGTGTGTGAGACAGATTTTACTATGTAGCCCAGGCTGGATTCAAACTCTTGGCCTTTTTACCTCTGTCTCCAAGGGCTGGATCACAGGTGAGTGCCATCATTCCTGTTTTATCTATTTTTTCTAGGACTATTATTTTAGAGAAAGTTATTCATGATGAAATTTTCCTGCCCAGCTCAAATAACTTGAAGATAACTGGTGCATTCTTAAATTCATCCATCTCTTTAGGAAAACGTTTGACGAATGATATATTTTAAACATATGACATTTTATAAAAATGTTTTTCTTTAAAGCATCATTACTAATTTTAGGATGAATTTGTCATACATCTTAATTGTAGGCTTATGATTTAAGAACAACTCTTTGCTTGTGATATTTTTAGAACTGTATCTCACTCTAGCCCAGGCTAGCATTGAATTTGTAGTCTTCTTCTGCCTCCCTGTTGCTGAGATTACAGGCATGTATTACAACCCCCTGTACAAGGATATCTGCTCTATCACGGTTCAAGGAAATTTGTATGCCTACTCAGTGAGCACCTAGAGTGTGATGAAGTATGACAGGTCACGCACACATTTGTTGAATGTCAAGTTTGTTAGCTTTTGTGTGTGTAGGGGGGTGTATGGGTGCTAGTAGACCATTTTGAACTTGAACTCAGGACCTAGGTGCTGTCCCTTAGTTTTTTTCTCAAGGTTGGTGCTCTACCACTTGGGTCATAGCTCTATTTTCAGTTTTTGCTGGTTAACTGGACATATGAGTCTCAGAGACTTTCCTGCCTGGGCTGGCTTTTTGTGATCTTCAGATCTCAGCATCTTGAGTAGCTAGGGTTACAGGTGTTTTGCCAGCCTTTTAAGAATCTTTAGGGAAACTGGCATATGTTTTTTTTTGTCTTCTGTCTCATTCAGGGCATAATTTATGTATTGTTCAGTTCCTTGACTTTCCTGTTGGAAACAAGACAGTTTGGTTCAACATTAGCACTCTATGAGTTTATAAAGCTCAAATGAACCAAGTTCCCTGGCAAAGAACTGTGGCAGTAAACCAACAGTGGAAAGTTTGAGGCTAAATATTTTTTGATTTTTGGATTGCCTGGAGATTTTCCTCATGGCCTCAGCTCAATCGCCATTATTAGCAATGGGTAATGAACAGCTGGCTGGCTAGATTTCCTCTTATATCCAGGTTCTATCATCTGTCAAGTGAATTTGGTCAGTGTGGATACTACCAAATTGATGTCTAGTCTAGATCTCCCATGACAGCCCAAGTGTAGGGACAGCCCAGACAATGGAGTGACAAATTTGCCTTTTCCAGGGTTTACTATGCTGATAGCTAACCTAGAGACCAAGCCCCTGTCTTTCCATGGTTGTAATGTGATTGTAGATGCCATTAGGGCAGAATCCAATGTACCAACTCAGGCTAAAAACTTTCAGTAGCTTTCATTTCTATTTCGTGATTTATCTGTCTCTAAGTCTCTGTGGTCTGTGAAGTTCATATACTTTCTTCAGAGATTCCTCTGTGTTTTGTATGTGGTGACAAGATCTTGCTATGTAGTCCAGGGTGACCTCAAACTCACGATCCTCTACCTTAGCATCCAGAGAGCTGATATTACAGGCATGTACTACTATGCCATGCTCTTCTGAGATTCTGCAGGTGGGTGTTTTATCTTGTAGTAAGCAAATGTAGGCACATACCTATCAATAGAATGCATTATTATCCCCTACCTTTATACGTGTCTTATTAATAGCCAATCTTGTGTGTTTTGTATACTATCACAGGATCCCTCTTGCCACACCTGTTGATGCACATGAACATGAAACCTTAAATGTTTGTTTACATATACCTTACAGAATCTCACCCTCACAATGTACCAATTCCAGTACTGCATATAGTACCAATGCTGCAATACTAACTTTAAAGACTAAGTTTCATAGTGTCTCATAAATGCCAGGTTTGCAGTGTATCTTCTGCATCCTTCCAGTGATGAATCTGCTCATTTCCCCCACTTTGGTGCCAGGATTGGGGCTTGAACTCAGGGCTTTTTTTCCCTCAAGGCTAGTGCTCTATCACTTGGACCACAGCTCTTTTTGTGGTTAATTGGAGATAAAAGTCTCATGGACTTTTATGGACTTTTCCATCTTGGGCTGGCTTCAAACTCTGATCCTCAGATCTCAGTCTCCTGAGTAGCTAGGATTATAGGTGTGAGCTCTGGGCACCTAGCTTGATCATTCATTCACTTTTTTAAAAAATCACAGTTAGGAGAAAGCTCCATACACGGCCATAACTGTAAAAATGAAGGAATTACTTATTTTTTGTTTTGAGAGTCTATTTGATGGATTCCTAACCTTTGGGAACAATTAGGTGTGGGAGTGTGGCCTTGCCTTAAGGTTAGAAAGTGTACTAAGTCCAGCTTGGGGACAGAAGTGATCATGTATAGTGGTTTGAAGTTCTTCCATTTTCCTTTGGAACCTCCTTTCAAAAACTCCCATCTCACAACATTCAACACTCTAAGAATCCATCTTCACAAATATGGCCATAGTTCATCTTCCAAAATGCAAGTGGGATCCTCATTGGCTCAGCTCAGTGGTGTCATCTCAGTCTCTGAAAAGCATTAATGTTATCACTTCCAGTCTTCTGCTCCTAACCTTCTTTGTGCACACCTCCATTTCTCCATTTGCCCTTTTCTCTTCCTCCTCCTCCTCTTCCTCCTCTTCTTCCTCCTCCTCTTCTTCCTCCTCCTCCTCCTCTTCCTCCTCTTCTTCTTCTTCTGCTTCTTCTTCTTCTTGTTTCTTGAGTCTTATTTACTTTGTCATATCTCTTTATGTTTTTGATTTAACATCCACATATCAGGGAGACCACGTGCAGTTTGTCTCTTTGCTCTTGGCTTACCTCACTCAACATGATTTTTTCTAGTTCCATCCATTTCCCTGCAAATGCCATTATTTTGTCCTTCCTAATGGCTGCATAATATTCCATTGTATTCCATGTACCCTTTTCTGTTCTTCTTCTTCTTTTCGGTTGTTCATGTCTTAGATTAGCCCATAGACAAACATAATTGTCCCTTTTAAATTTCCTTCTGTGAGTTTTCTAACCGTGATAGATTACTAAGACATTGTAACTCACTGTTAGGGAATAACTCTGTTTTATTTATTTATTTATTTATTTTGGGTCCGGTTGTGGGGCCTGAACTCTGGGCCTGGGCGCTGTCCCTCAGCTCTTCAGCTCAAGGCTAGCACTCTACCACTTGAGCCACAGCACCACTTCTGGCTTTTTTCTTTTTGCTTATGTGGTGCTGAGGAATTGAACGCAGGGCCTCATGCATGCAAGGCAAGCACTCTACCACTGAGCCACCTTCCCAGCCCCAATAACTGTGTTTTATTCTAAGACTGAGTTCAAAAATGATCCTGGCCTTCTATTTCTTTGTCTACAGCCATGTATCTTAAAGGCTGGCAACTCTTTTTGCTTGTTGTTGTTGTTGTTGTTTGAAAGGAATGAAGATTTATTGTCACTCACAGATTCAGTCAGTGGTTGGCTGGCTCTATTAAGGCTGGCAACTCTTATGTAGATGGAGCTTTCCATCAAAATTTCTTCAAGACGTATTGGTGTGTAGTTTTTACATATCAGAAATGAGAATACAGTGGTGACTAAGACCGAAAGTTCCCTTGGTCTCTTGGAATGGGCACTGTAGAAGCAAACAGATCCACAATTCATTTACTCTCGAAGTCAGAGAGGAAAAAATGGCGGTGGAGAAGCCAGAAGGGGAACATACATTTGCCACATTCCACAACATACCAAAGGCAACAAACACATCACTTCATCACCAAATATTTCCTCCACCGCAAGAAATACAAGTGCATTATTTTCTTCAAGCTAGAAAGGAGTTTATCCCTCCTTTCTTTGAAATTCTCTTTAGCTTGTTATTATTCTGGGTCTCTAGCCAATTTTTCATCAAATTGCCCTATTTGTAGCTTCCAAATGTGAACACCAGTACGCGGAAATGGAGCCTAATAATTGCCCTGGGGCATGCACTATGTGTGAGGCAGAAATGCCATTCAAGCCTTTAATGAAATTATGCGCTTTGGAACTGCTCATACTGGGTAGATAGGATCCATCCTGCCCTTCCTTGGTTTAGACGAGGGAGAGGGAGGGGAGGAATGTGTGTGTGTATGTGTGTGTGTGGGGGGGCATTTTTGTCTTTTAAAATGCAATTTTCACAAACCAGTGATTTATGAGCAGTTCACCTCATTTGAACATTATAAAGTTTCTCTCTCTCTCTCTCAACTCGCCCACGCGTTTCTTGGTACTTACTGGCCCTAATCTCCAAAAAGCGAAATATTGCCGTGGATTCTTTGCCGCTGATCGATCCGACCCTTTAGAAAGAAGCAGAAGAGGAGGAAGCGGGAGAAGGAGCCCCTGCCTGCGCTGAAGCGTGGCGGGCGCAGCCACAGCGCGGAGCCGCGGGCGCCCACTGGTCCCGGGAGCTGCCAATCGGGCTGTAATCCGGGAGGAATTTCTCCGGGGTTGATCTGGGAGTCACTCGATTGCCCAGGCTGCCTCGGGAAGGAGGGAGAGTGGGAGGCAGGGAGGGAGAGGGAGGGGAGGAGGGAGGAGGGAGGGGAGCCCGAGGAGGCGGGCCCCGGAGGGGGCGGCGCGGAGGAGGCGGAGCGCGGCCCGCGAGCCACTAGCCGGGCTCCGAGGCGCAGCTCTCCAGATACTCCGGGAGCTCCGGCCCCGCACCGCGCGCGCCCCCGCCGCTCCGCCCGCAAACTTCAAGCCGCAGCTCCATTTCCAGCCACTGAATTGTGTTCCTTAAAAAAGAAAAAAAAATCCCCGAACTGAATCCCCCACCCGGGGAGGGATTCGCGGAGGAGTCACAATCCGGCCGATCAAGAAGCTTGCTCCGGGGAAGAGCAGCCTCTCGGGAGCCCCAACTCGGCGTCGGGAAGCGCAGAAAGCCAACAAGTGAAAAAAGAAAGAAAGGAAAGAAAAAGAAAGAAAGGGGAAAAAAGGCGCCGCGTTCCCCAGGGCGCTGCGCGGGCGGCGGGAGCAGGCGCAGGAGAAAGCGAGCGCCCCTCAAACCCCGCAGCCCGGAGCCCGGGAGCCGCGCTTGCTGCGGCGGCGGCTCGGCTCTCCGTTCCCTCGAGGCGGCCCGCGCCGAGCGCAGGACTGAATCTTCCCTTCGCCCACTTCGCCCGCACCGCCGGCGAGCAGCTGGTCCCCGGGAATATGCAGCGCGCGTGGATCCTCCTCACCTTGGGCTTGGTGGCCTTGGTGTCGGCCGAGTCGGTGAGTGGAGCCCAGGCGAGGGCACGCGCGCAGAGCGGGGGATCCCCGGGCAGCGGGTGGGGGAAATCGGGGAGCTCCATCTGAGTGATCAGATGGAGGGGCGACGGGTGTGTGAGTGGGGGTCGTCTAGGACAAACGCGATCTCTCTTCCACCCCCTTTTCCCGCTGTCCCTTCTCTTCCCGCAGAAAAGCATGGATTGCTGGGGGGGGGCCTCCATGGTCTCTAGGGATGGGGGGGTGCACACTTAAGAGTAGCAGTCTTCTCAAGTCACCCCCAACTTCCTCACTTTCTGGGGAGTCTTTTGCTGGACCCGAGGGAACCGCTGTCTGGCGACCCGAGCAACGCTAGGCTCCGCAGGGATTCCGGTGCGCTCCGCGCGCGCGCTCGGCCAGCCCTAGGGATGACCTGGAAACTTTGGGCGTGGAGAGGGGAACCCGTCCTCCCTTCCCCTCCTCTTTTCCAACTCTCCCAAGTGCAAGTTTGGGGATTCTGAGCTCCCATTTCAGAGACCCGCGAAGGTCCGGAGAGAAAAGTTGGTGAAAGTTCTTTTGTTCGATGCTCCCCGCGGCGACTGGGGCGAGGTACCCGTTCTCCTCCGTGGAGACGCCGTCCAGCAGTCCCGCGGGGGACACAGACGCACCCCCGAAAATGTCAGGGTGCTGGCTGATGGAATCCTAGTCCTCCGAGACTTCCTCCTCCTCCCCGGAGGGCGTCCTGAGCCCGGTGGAGATGGGGCAGGGGAAGGCGACATTTTAATCCGGGCTGCACTGGAGTGCCGAAGGATGCGTGTGACACGGAGCTCGGCCTCGGGCGGCGTGGGCCCGCGGGGGTCGAGGCTTTCCTTCTGTTTGCTTTCTTCCTAGCTCTCAGGCCCAGGCCCGGCAGGCAGGGCTGGCGGCAGCCTCCAGCATCCTCCCCCTGTCTGGCAGTGGAAACTTGATTTTTCCTTTGGATCGCTTTTCTGGGTTTGGAGCTGGTTTCCTTGCATTACCCAGTGAGCGCCCTCTAATGGAAACTGCGTCCCCAGCCTCCCGGTTTCTTTGGCTGCCCTTGCCTTGGGTGTTGGGTGCCTGGAGTTCTGGATCTCCTGGGTGGAAATCCTGAGCTCCTTCCTTGGGTGGCTTCGAATCTCTCCTCTTCTCTTCCCACCCCCGCCCCAACTCCCCTATCACTCTCTGGTCAGGGCCGGTGACCCTTTCTGCCTTCTGTAGTTCCCAAGGACTTCCTCCTCTGCCGCCTAGTAATGTGCCCATTTCTAATTAATTGAACTGTTGCTTCCAAAACAAATCACTATATATTATCTTCGTGTGTGTCATATTGTGGTGAGCGCTTCCCCCAATTCTCCTAAACCCTTGAAACTGGGAAACATCTTTGGTGTCTTCGGTGGGGGGGATTCCCCCACCCTATAAGTTAGTTGAGGTCAGAGCATGGAGAATGGGAAACTTGTAAGTAGATAAGGAATTGGGCACTCCCATTGTAAAATGCAACTGTGAACCTTATCAGTATTTCTCAGTGGCAAATGATGGTTGAATCCGTTGCAATTAGCAGCAGTCCCCCAGCTAGTTTATGAACTTTGGCACGTTATACACGCAAGGGAAATGATTCTCCGTTTATTTCAGAAACAAACAAACAAACATCCTTGTTCATCTTTGTTGCAATACAGGGCAAAAGGACAACCTCATGTAGTTAAGAGAAGCTTGGCCAAAAAGCTGAACAGGGAAGGGGAAATCCACTCCTCCCCCTATTCCTGTTTAGAACTTTGTTAGGAAATACGACCGTTTTGGGACTGTGGAGAAAAAAGCCTTTGGAGTTTTTGCATAAATCTGACAGTTCTCCTTAAGGAAAGGTCTTGCTCAACTGTAGGTGGCCTCCCCAGTGAGAGCTTTTCCCTGAAATCCAGATCTTTAGTGTTTACTAGTTGTCAATTTGAATCAGAATCCAGTGTTTCTCCAGTGAACAGCTTGTTTGTGGGCAGGCAGTTTTGAACCACTAGATATCCCCTGCAAGTGTGATTAGTGTGTGTGTGTGTGTGCCTGTGCGCACACACACACACACACAAACACACACAAACATGCTTACTTGCTTGCTTCTGTGCTGGTTCTGGGGCTTTAACACAGGGTCAGGAGCCCTGTCTCTGAGCTTTTGTGCTTCAAGCTGGCCCCTGAGCCACATTTCCACTTCTGGCTTTTTGGGTGGTTAACTGTAGGTAAGAGTCTCATGGACCTGTTACCGGAGGACTTCTGGTTTCAAACTTAAGATCTCATCCGGAGTAGCTAGGATTACAGGTGTGAGCCACCAGCCATTGGTGCTATCTTGGTTAGATATTTTCAAGATATCAACTTGGATATCCTCCTATACAGTCTTTGTTCAGTGGTGAGTCAGTCTTTCTTAGTAGAAACTGTTTCACAGGCTCAGAATGGCTAATGGTCTCTTTAAATCATCCCTCAGCCTCTTGAATGTTTCATGTTAGCAGGGCATTAATAGAAACAGACTTGAAAGGCTTAATTTTTAGAAGTTTAGCTGCCATGAAACATTATTTTCAGAATTTTGCCTTTTAATTTGGAAACTACAACTGTGTCCTAGGATTTAGAAGTAATCATTGTCGGAGCCAGAGGCTTTTTCAAAGGAAAAAAATAAAGGAAAAAATATCTGCAGTTTTGTATTTAGCAGGGCCGGTGGGAATGGGAGTGGAGGTTGGGGTGGTTCTAAGGGCCTAAGTCAAAGGTGTCTGAAAGGAAGTAGTAGTCCTTCTCTCTTGGATGCAGAGAGCAGGGAAAGCCTATTCCCAGTGGTCCATTCATGCCTTCTACAGGCAGGTTAGGACTTTCATTGTGGGAAACAGCTCAGCAAAGGATGTCTGCGTGTGGCAGTAGAGATATGCTGCTGCTAGTTTTTCTGTCCATTTGTTTCATGACTTGTTTATCTTTAGAAATAATATATTGCAGACTGCTATAAACACATAATTTGAAACTGGAAATATGTTTGAGAAAAGGAAGCAATTTGAAGTAGTGGAATTTTATAAACATGCTTAGATGTCTATAAATGAAAAGAAACTGTCAAGTCATTTGGAGCCATGCATTACTTCGAAGGACATTATGAAAGGCAGGCTCTGGAAAGTTTGCATTACAAGAGGAAAAGACATTGAAATCTTAAATCCTTGCAGCTCTTTGAAAAGCATCTATTTGCACTGTTGTAGTGACACAAATTAGTTTGGTAGGAACCAGAGCTCTTTATTTTTTGTTGGATAATAGCCGTAGATAGATGGCATTTAAGAAGGAAAATTCTTAGAAACTCAGATTTGCAGGAGATGGTGTCCAAGAGGAAATCTGTCCATATCTTTCAACTCATAGTCCTGGAACCTGGTATATCTGTTTTGTTTTTTAAACCTATTGAAAATATTGTATATATTTATGGATATTGTGATTACATATATACTATGTTATAAATATAATGTGTAAATATAATACATAATATATATTACATAATAAATATTATTCTATATATTTTATGTATAATCATTTCATGTGCTTGTGCCAAACTGAGGCTTGAATTCAGGGCTTCATTCTCTTGTTTGACATTTTTACTCAAGGTTGTTGCTCTGACTTGAGTCACAACTCCACTTCTGGCTCTTTGCTGGTTAATTGGAGATCAAGGTCTCACTGACTTTTCTGCCCTGGCTGACTTTGAACTGTAATCCTCATTTCTCAGCTTGCTGAGTAGACAGGATTACAGTCATGAGCTACTAGCGCTTGGTTCCCCTGTGGTGTTTTGATACAAGTATACATTATGCCGTGTTCAGATCAGGCTAGTGTACCTCATGTGATGGTACCAAGCTTTCAAGGGACAGTCTGTCAGGGGAATCCCCCTGTAACATGGTCATTCAGGTGGTGCCTTGGACAGTCATTTGTTTGGAAAGAATGAAAAAAAAAAAAAAACAGCTAAGGTTTTCCCTGAGCTACTTTTCAAGTTACCAGAAGCCCTGGAAGCCTGATTGTTCATCTAGAGGGTAGCTTAAAGGCCTCTTGGGTTGGTTCTGCCTCTGGCTGGCCCAGACACACAGTGCGTGACCAGCTCTGTCATTAAGGTTTATAGGGAGTCCCATCAAGTCTGTGCTGTTGGCCTGCCTGCTGGCTGTGACCCAATAAGTCTTAGGAGGAATGCCTCTGAGTTTAGTTTCTCACGAGATTTTCTTCTTCTATTGCCAAAACAACCAAACTAAAGGATCCCACCCATCATTTTCTTCTTCCCAAAGCAGGAAGAAAAGCTGTCATTCTATCAACAGTATGTTTTGGTAACTCAAAATCAGCTACTTCTTTTGTTGACTGGAAGCTCCTACAAAATCTCAGAGAAAAGCAAGAAGTCAGGAAGATGACCTTTGCTGAAAACAAGCTACTCTTACTTCACATTTGGTCAAGTGTCTCAGGACTGTTATTTTCATTAGAGTCCTTTTGAGGGTAGTCTAGGAGAAATCCTTAACTCATTTGACTTGGTTCACACCCATGACTGTCTGGGTCTAAATCTGAATTGTCCTTTTTTTATACTGGGATGCAGTGCTGGAAAACCAGTAAACCCTTCTGGTCTACCTGGGGCTTGTGTTCTAAAGAGCCAGATAGCTTTTCTTCCAGTGTGTTTCACGTTTACTTATTTTTGTGTTTGGTAGCTCTTCCAGCTTATGCATCTGTCCGTCACTAAGTAGTTGCCATTCCTAGCCCAGACGCTAGTCTGCTCTTTGCTATGTTCTCTACTACACTGATCATGACACCTATGGTCTAGAAATATCTGTATGTCCTGTTATCATGCTTTAGCGAGAGTTGTAAACTGTTCTTTATCAGTGCTCTTTCCTTGTTACTGTCTTGGTCATTCCTTACTGTGTCTCATGCTTCGACTTGCTGGTGTCACTGTTAGGAGCCCTGCTTGTACATAGCTACCTCTTTAGAATTTCTCCTTTGAAATTCTATCAGTGAAGTCTAAACTTCAGCTAGCTTTCCATGACAGCTCC